ATTTTAAGAATTAAAATTAAAAATTAATTTTATACAAAATTTTAAATTTTGATTTTTCACATTTTTCCGGTTTTTTTTCGTTTTTTTTTTTTTTATTTTTAATAAAGTGTGTATTGTGTTTTATAATGATAACAATTTTTATCTTACTTATGTATATGTTTTTCTTTACATATGTAATTTTATTTTACTTAAAATATACAACTATAATTTAAACATAAATATACACATGTTATGCGCATATATTAACCCTTAATCACTATGCTCCGGTCTAACAGACGTACATAAAAAAATTTAATTGTCTTCTCCTCTTTTATTTATTTTAAATATTAGCACATAGTTTCATACTCAATTTTACTGATTTTTGATGTTAATAGCCAAGTTTCACAATTTTAATTAAAAACTAAAGTTCGAAATGAATTTTTAATTATTTTGTTTTTATATCGTAAATATTAAAAAAAGAACAATATGATTAGAACAGCAAATAATCAACCGCATTGTTAAAGTCATCCATAAGATTCTGAAAATGTCTTCTAAACACTTATTATTTCAAATTCAATAAAAGCTTGAAAATTGTCTCTTAATTTATTTAGCTGGAAAAATGTAAATTTGGCTATTAGCAGATGTACATTATTTCTAATCCGATATCCCTGAAAAGTTTTACATTTAATTTTGTAGAAAGCCAAAACTCCAATACTAAAAATCAAGAAATTCATTCAATTCACAATAAAAAATGCAAGCCTCAAAATCCTAATGAAAAAGTTGTATTCCTGAAAAATTTGCTGGTTCCTTATTTTGTAACCAGCAATTTGAAATATTAAATTTTAAGAAAATTTTTTAATTATTAGAAAAACGATTCTCTGTATATTGCGCAAAATTGTAAATTGGGTCTGTAGTAAAAGTTCAATTGCTGACAACAAATTTTCTCGAAAAGTGTCTTATACCATCGGACTAGATTTATGTACAAAATTTTATGAATTTTTTTCTGAAACATCATATTTGTGTTTTCCTATAATGAAATCGAAAATTCGACATGCAAAATTTGACCATCATATTATAACCTGTTTTATTGTATGCAATGCTGTCCGATAACAATAAATTAATTGTGTCATTTTTATATTACGAAAAAAACTATTTTATTTATGAATTTTATTGTGAATACATAAGTTCCTTTATTTTTAACAGTTTTGCTTTTCTTAAATAAAATTAAATAAGTATGAAATGAAAAATATAAAATAAAAAATCAAAAATATTTTCAGTTGGTCCATTTTGTTTAACGTGTGCCACACATCTTATACATTGTTAATTTTACTTCATCTCCCAAAATATTTATGGAATATTTTTTAAGCATAGTGATTAAGGGTTAGGTGTAGTTATGAATTATTACTACTTTTTATTCTTTTCCTTTTTTTTTAATTAGTTTATTAATTTTTTATTAATTTGTTGCAATTTCTTCTGAATTTTCTGTTTCCTTCTTGTTTTTTTGCATTTTTCATTTGTTTGTTTGAACAATTTTGACTATGAAAAAAGCATTTTAATTAAAAATATTTTATTAATTTATTTATTATTTTTTTATAATTTAATTTAGATAATATTTTTTTTTTTATTTTATAATCTCATGTATAGTTTTGATTTAATTTTTCTAACTTTTTACACTAAAATTCAAAAATTTTGGTTTTTTTTAATTTTATTTTTTTTTTTTAAAGATATTTTTGATTTTAATATCCTCAAATATTTGTTTAAATTTTAATTAATTTAAAATTTATCTTATATGTTTATGCTATTTATTTATGTATGTGTGTAAAAATTATTTTATTATTAATTTTTTAAATTTATTTTTTGTATTTTTTTTTTTTTATTTTTTTGCTTCATCACCAAAACAAAAATTATTATTTTTTTTTTAAATTTTTTTTTATTGATTTTGAAAATCAAATCGATTATCGTCAAATTTATTATTTAATATTTTTTTCTATTATTTTTTTTTGTTTTTTTTTTACCCTTAATACTAAATTGTTCAAAAAAATTTGTTTTTTTTTACATATACATTTATATATATAAATTAATTGTCATCCTATAAATTTTTTTTTTGTTTGTTTTTAAAAACTTTTTCAATTTATTTTATGTAGTTTTGATTTATTGTTTAAATTCTATACATACATATAATATTATATATTATATTTTATTTTTTTTTTATTCAATTTACATTTATATTAAATTTCTATGCATAAATATTTTCAACCTTTATTGATTTCGTTTTGAATATGTTTGCATTTTTTAAATGCTTTATTTATTCTTTGTTTTTGTTTTTTTTGTTATTCTAACTAAAAATAAATTGTATGGATATTTTGGGTATGGGTTTAGATTTTTGAAGAGGAATTTTTTTCGGAAATTAATTGAATAGAAATTGAAATAAATATTTAAATCCTTTGGCACTTAATACTTAAAAGTTTATTGTTTTTTTTTTTCATATGAAAATGAAAAATTTTTAAACGAGTTTGCCAAAAAAAATATCCTTTAAAAAATGTTCTCATGCACGAATATTGGAATAAAAAAAAATTGAGTACAATTGAAGCTTATGAAAAAAAATACAACGATACAAAGTTACCAAATTATTACAAAATTTATAATTCTACTTGAATTGAATTTCAGTTCCTTCATTCTACCATTACGAGTATTACTTTTTATATAGCCGATGGTTTCCCTATTGTTCCATCTTCAAACTTTTTATTCTGCAATTTTTGGTACTCTTTATGATTTTTATTTAGATTTTGTTTTTTATTCTTTATTAGACCATCTTTTTCACTTTCTAGATTATTTTAAGCACTTTTCCAAAAAAAATTTGAAAAAGAGTGCTTATTAATTTCACTCTGTCCGTCAGTGTGTCTGTTTACAAAATTTCAACACCTTTTACCATAAAAAGCTGGAATTTTTTATATAAATATATTTTTACTAGAAACTAATTTCTGTGAAAGAAAATTTTTACTTTTTTTAGGAGAAAGTCTTAAAAATTACTTTTTTTGACTATTTATTGCAACAAAACCACAAACATTTTTTAAATTCTGAAAATGCAAAAAAGTAGGGGCTGCGGTTTCTTTTACTGCAGCATAGCTTAGTTGAGCATAAAAATGATTAAATGATAGATAAAATTGATCTTTACCTAAAATCTGTTTTTTTTTGTCAAAGAATTTCTTCAAGACCAAAAGGCTTAAGAGTCTGAAATCTTTGCAATTTGAAAAATTTGAATTTTTGGCAACTTTTATTTCCGAAACCGACAGCTTTTCCAAATTTATATAAAAAAAAGAAAGTTAACGACTAACGCCATGTTTTTAAAAAATATAGTTCTTTTTTGGGGCAATTAACCCTTAAATTCGAGCATTAATATTAATGTCTCTTTCAATAATTCTTGTCTCATCCTACATGTATGCACTCTTTGAAATATTTTGGTATATAAGTAAAAGATTGTTTTACAAAAGCAATATTTGCACTTGTTAGAGGAAAAAGTGTTTCTTTTAAAAGCACTGAGTTGCCCAAACTTTATTTTATTTTAAGTAAATTTGCAAACAAAAATTATTGTGGTTTCTTTTATTCATTAAATCTCATTTTATGTAAATTAATTTTATTTATGTATTTTGATATTTTTCAAATATATGCTTATGCAGAATATAATTAATTTATTTTTTTTTATTTTTCGTATATTATTGTCCAACAGTGGATATAAGTGTTCAATTTGACAGCTTTATTTAACGGAAACGTTATGCTGTTGTTGGAGTACACAGAAAAGTTAACGAAATATTTACTTCCAGGGTAGAAATAATAGAATTGCTGCGATAATTGTAAGTATACAATATTGCATAAATAATTATTATAACCACAAGTGACTACTAACCACAGACATTAATTTAGAAAACCTCCCTAGTTTTATTGCTAAATATTTCCGATATACAGTTTCAAAAAATAAATATATACTTTTGATATAGGGTTTTTTAAGTAATTGCATATAAAATTGATATTCGTTAAATTAGTGGCAAAATTTTTGAAAATTTTTTTTTAAATTTTAATGAAAGTTTTCGAATTCCCATATGTAATAAATTAAAAAGGGGCGAAAAAACCGGGACCCACAATAATTTATGTATGACAGCAATATTTACGTTTGAACTTTTTATTTATATTCCAGAGATCATCATAGCATATCTGCATATACATATTGTAAAAAATTGTTACCAGAGCATTATTAATTTGTAAAGTTTATTTTTTAATCCCATTTATTAAACAATATATTTCTGACCGAAAGAGAAACCAGCTATATTAATATGGCAAATGATAAAAATCCGATTTCGAACAACTAATGTAGGGCAAATTGATTGCAATAAGCAATATAACTCATTTGCAATCATTTGCCTTACGTTAGTTGTTCGAAATCGGATTTTAATCGCACGACATGAGTGTTTCAGGCCAAGAGAAAAATGTTGATCATTTTTTTGCTACCAGCAAGGCAAAACATCTTATGTCCTTAAATTCAACGAAATCCAATAAAGCTAAGGAAACGGCATATTAACACAACAAGGCGGTCCTTCATTTTCTTTCTTTATATTCATCCAGATAAAGAAAGCAACCTTATTTTCGTCATACTGAAAAGTGAGTCATAATGAGTTAAGATGTTTTGACTTGCTGGTAGCGATTTTTGTTTACCTATACCTTGTTTAATTAGGAATTTCTTTACTTTCATTTTAAAATCTCATATTTGAATCTTCTATCAGCAAAATAACAAAAATATTTTATAAAATTGCACAGAAACAAAATTATTGAAACAATTGAACAAGTAATTGAAACCTTATTACAGGTGCACTGGAACAACTTATTTTTAAACTTATTAAATTAAATAAAATAATCTCTTTCATAAATTTACCCTTTTTTTCCGGAGTTTCATTAAAATTTCGTGAATAGTGAAATTTTTCAAAAAAAAAAAAAAAATTATAAAGTTCATTTATCTATTTTGAATGCATGATGAAAATTTAAAAGGATTTAAATATTTTCACTATATTTCAATTAAAAGTTAACCAATTTAATTAAGTCTGATGAAAATTAAATTAAAAAAAAATATTAACTTCTATATTCATTATCAATGTGCAAAAAATATTTTCCGAATTATGTCAACAAGTAACCAATTTAATTTATCAATGAAATTTTCCATTTTTCTTTTTTTTTCTCTTATTTTTTTTGTAATTTTTGTTAAAATTTTATATTCGTGAAGCATAATAACATAATTTTGCAATAACTTTCACTATACATGGTACATACATACATATACATATATGTATATATAGATACATGTAGTTGCATTAATTTAATTTAAGGTTTCCTCTTTGTTTTTTTAGTTTTTTTTTTTTCGGTGCGATGACCAATATTTCAGTAGAAAATTTAATTTGAAAATTTTACTTGATAGTTTTTTTTTTTTGTTTTTTTACAAAAATTGGAAAACTTTTATACAGGAATGATATAATAATGATTTGCCTATTGAAATTGTTAACAATAAATTTACAAAAAATTGGTTCTGATATGATTTATTTGATGATCCGACATGTCCATGATACATTGCAGCTGGATTATCACCTGGAAATAATACAAAAGACAAAATTTATTTTTTAGAATTTTATTGAAAAGAATTAAAATATTAGTGTGTATATGTATGTTTAGCTAATAAACAAAAATTGTCAACTATAAAATTATTGTAAACTTTTTTAAATGAATTATTGACTTTTACATATTTAATCAAACATCAATATTGTTACAGAATTCCAAAGGGAAAAGGGTTACAGCATAAAAGCCATAGACGTATAAAAATATTCCAGCAAAATACTTTATCATTAAAACCTATTGCCTATTAACCTAATAGAAATAAATAATCTGTTAGGGAAAATAAATATTTCAAGATTGTATAATTAATAAGAATACATTATGAAGGGAAATACAATTTATGAAATATTCGTTGCAAAAAATTTTTACAATACTTCTCGAGTTTTACTAGATTTAAAAATATTCCAATTTTTTTGAAATTACATTAATTTGTAAACATTGTAATAAAATTTTGCATTTAATAAATTGAACAAAAATCTGATGTGGTCAGCACGTAAACGACTAAAGCGTATACTTTTGAATAATATTCTCAAATTAAAATAAACTTTTTCCTACTAATCGAGGTGAAAGTGTTGTTCAAGTTTGTGAAATTCTTATTACTAGCTTCAAAAAATTTTTCCAAAATCTAGAATCGTGCAAATTTATTTGTATAAAAATAGTGCAAATTTGATTTAAGATTCTGCGTGCGAGAAATTTATAAGTTTTTTACTAAAACTACGGGGAGCGAAACATAAATATAAAAAAAAAATTGATATCTGTCACCCTGCTTCTCTGAATATTCCAACTCATCTTAACTTGAAATCAAGATTAAAAAATGTCAACAACGTATAAAGGTTCAATTGATTAATTTTTACATCACTCAGTAGCCTAACAAAGCAAAATAAATATGAATTTTCGGTAAACAATCAGATTTGTCGAAACTGAAATATACGAGTACGGATCGATTAACCATAATATCTTGTTATTTGATTTACGTTTCTCTGGCGTGGTAAAATACATTCCTTTAAAAACCAATTTTATAAATTTTTATATGTTATACTTAAATTACAAAATATTACATTTCACAAATCTTGTCAAAAATGTTCGAAATATTCGGAAATCTATTTCAATAATGAATCTAACCTTCAAAATCATTAAATTATTTACTGAAATTTTTTGACGCATTTTGCCACGATGCACCGATAAATTTTGGCGATACTTACATAATTCGGTTACACTTTATTGCACATGGTACAAAAATAGTCAGTTTACAGATAAATAGGGCGCTTTATTTTACTTATTTTTGAAATGAAATCTAAAATTAAATGCGGACAAACCGAGTGCGCTAATAAGCACATTTCTACGTTTAATACACGTAGACATTTAATTTTTTTGATTTGCGTGTACAGCAACCAAAAAAGAGAAAACAGACAGAACACTAAATGTTGTCCAACGCATGAAAAATCATTTTTCTGAAAATTAACATTGAGGGTAAATTATTTTCCTTTTAAACTGGTTATAGATTAAAATATTTAATAGGAAATTAAAATTATTTTTACCATTAAAAAATTTTTTTTTTAAGAATAAATGCGACCTGCTAAGAATCTAACAAAAATGTTTTAAAATGGTCTTCTTTAGAATTTATAAAATTTTTCCATTATCCCTTTTTAACTTTACATTTTTCCGCTCAATTTAATAAATATTTTTTAAGTTAAATGAGTACAAAAAGATCAAAAAGTACTAAAAACCTTGATTCACTTTCAGAAATGCATAGACTTTTGCTAGAGAAAATAAATCTAAAATAAGAAAGAAAATTATGAAAATGAAAATGTTTGTTTTTTTTTTTTGAAAAAATAATTATAAAGTGTCTTATTTTCTTAAAATTAATAGAAAATGGTTCTAATTTAAAATTTGAACATAAAACTATTTGTGGTTGTGGTAATTAAAGACCGTATTTCATAAATAAAAAATATTAGGAAGGAAAAAATATGAAAGAAATGGAGCTTAATAAATCTGCTCGAATTACTTTGGGGTAAAAATGTCGCAAGAAATTTAATCAATTTCAAAATTAGAAAGCTTTTATTTGTATTATGCCAAAATATTATAACTGTGATTAGAAAGGAATCCACTGACAAAAAAATATGATTCAATTTTATTAGCAGCTTTACAAAATTTATTTGTTCCAAAACCCTAAGAATATGGCTTAAAAGATTTGTTTTTGCGTACCAGTCCAATGTCGTGTACACGTTCATGAGAAATATTTCCAAATATTTTCGTATTTTTACTACATGTTCATTTATAACACAATTTTACATACAAGGCTTAAGCCAATATAATTTTATACAAGGCTTATAAAATTATATTGACATTACATACATAACTTTAAGATTGAATACAACGATAATAAGAATACTTCATATTTATAAGAACCTTACCTTTATACAGAATTAAGACTATAATAAACACTTTGGAATAGTATAGTTTACCTAACGAGTTATACGAAATATTACAATATTTCATTTGCGACACATTGAACGCGAACGTCACAAATGTCAATTTAAGTGAAATTCCACTTTTAAATGTCTGTTATATTTTATGAAAATGTACAAATTCAACAAAATCAGAGCTGAAACTCTTGTATAACAATAATAGCACCTAAAAATACGACGCCTCTGAAGTTCGACAGATTTACTATTTTTACAGCTGTAAATAGTTTTAAAACAGCACTTACTGGGTTAATGTTTGAGTTACATTTCGATTACAGCCGAACGCTCCTTTTTATTGGATTCATTGTCGAGCACTGATTGATTGCTACGTTTATTTGTTACAATTTAGGAATTATGAGCATTACAATGAAAATATTATTCAAAAATTATTTAAAAATTATTTGCAAAATTTAAATTTTCTTTCTTGTTTTTACTAATCCCTAAATAAATTTTTCATACCATTCAACCCAAATCACAATATAATGAAACAAATTTGTATTTACATAAATAATTGTTATACCAACTGTTGTATTTATATATTCTGTGTTTTAACTCTTTTTAAAACATGCAACATTGAAATTATTTGGAAAGTAAAATGCAAATTTTATTAAAACCTAAAAGTATTTGTAATCATGTATTATTGTACATAATTCTATATGATGTGAAATCGAAATTTACAAATAAAATTTACGTGATATGCTATCATGTTTTATATTAAAATAATTTAACATTTGCGACCTATATTTTCTTATAGAAATTGATAGAAGTGGATATTTATAATACAGCAACCTAAAAAGGATCTAGGTATATGTATATGTATATAAGTGTATGCATATGAAAATATGCACAATCATGGTTTTATAATGAAAAAACAAAATCAAATTTAAAATACCAAATTTCAATTTATATAATATTAGAGTAGCCAGATGTGCTTAATCGCTTTACATTCTATATTTGTGTGTTTGAATTAATATAGTACTTTAATTTAAAAAAAATTCATATATTTTATCAGAAACAATAAGATTATTTAGAAAAAATAGTATTATTTATACAAAATAAAGCTGTAAAAGTAGATTTACAATTATAATTTAATTTAAATATAATATTAATACAAGTAGTAACAAAATAATCGAGTTACTTGGAAAAAATGTTTTAAAAATTTTTTGGAATTTTGAGTATGACTTAATTTTTTTATTAGAATGCATATAAATTTCACTTTATAAATTTTTTTCTTTCAAAGAAAATCATGTACCTATTCGACGCTTAAAAAATATGCTTGATAATTTGATTTGTCTTGATTCTACTATACAGGGTAAATCGCATAAGTTGACTAATAATTTCAGCGATGACTTTTTGATCAATTTTCAGCAAAATTCGTTTTCGAGCTACAGCCTTTTCAAGAAAGAGGTATAAGTTTTTTCCTGCATATATAAAAAATACTTATAACTTTGGAAATGCTTATAACTTCGGAAGCTATAAGCATTCATTTATATATAGGAAAAATCTGGTACCTTTTTTTCAACAGGCCGATACAATTTTTTGCCGGAAATTGACCAAAGAATCCTCCCTGAAATTATTTTCCAGCTTATCCGGAACACCCTGTATATTTAACTATACTTTATATGTTATATTATTCAATAAAACAATAAAATAGATTATAATAACCTAAAATGAAAGAATGGAATCACGTAGTTGCTTTTAAAGAAATGATTTTATGGAAAATTACCCAAAATTATTTATTTTGAATTTTTAGTTGAAAAAAAGAAACAAAACATTGCTTCTTGTCCAGACGCAAAAAGGCGCCTAAATGAAAAGGCTTAAAAATAAGAGATTCTTACTCGTGATTAAAATTTTTTAATTGCAAAGGCCCTTTTTTCTTTGACATTTTAAACAATTGAAATTGTAAAATATCAAAAATAGTACAGTTATCGTCTTTTGCCGAAATACTGTGTCCTTTTGTCTTAAATACTTATTATAATTACTAATAATTAGCAACGCAATATTTAAGCTTCACACTAAGTAGAACAAGTTTTTTTGAAAATTATTGCTTCATATTTTAAATTTTATTTACACCTACCTATATAATCGCATGTTCTAAGCTTGAAATGTTAAAGGAAAATGTCCTGCTTTACAAACCGTAATTTAATTTGACCAACTAAATAATATCCAACTTTTGCATATAAACACTATACGTAGCAATAATTTATATTATGAACCTCATGTCTCATAAAAGTTTCATGAAAAACTGGCAACTGAATGGAAATAAATTTATAAGTCCCAGCGGATTAAAATTTTCATTCTTTCATAACTGTTTTTAAATTGTGTATTTTGTGAAAAGTAAAAACAAAAAACAAATTTTAGAACCCGTTTTCTTCAAGTGGGAAATTATGCAGAAAAATTTTTGTGGGTTACCCAGTTTTTGTTATTGTTCGTAAAAAAATCAAATTTTTATATACATACATGTACACATAATATGTATACTGCCTTAAATAACATGATTCATAAAGTAAG